CGGAAGCGGAAGTGACGCTGGCTGCCCTCCTGAATCGGTCCTTCCTCTTCCGGCCTCGCCTCTCTCTCCCCACCAATCCTCTGAAGCCTCTTCTGCGGAGCCCGCCTGTCCCCGTTTCCATGGCCACCGCTTGGTGCCTGGAGGCCGCAGAGACCCCTGGGAATCGTAGTCCGCCCTCTGGGCCGGAGCGGCCGCCGCTGTGAGCCTCCTAGTTGTTTGCAAAGGGAACGTAGGAAGGGGCTGCCAGTGCCCCGAGAGCCAGCCGGAAGGGTCCCCGGCTCTGGCACTGCCAGGCCCGCGTCCGGGGCCGCTCGTGCCCTAGCAGCCGCACCCCGGCTGCTCCGGCCCTAGGCGTTGTCCACCCCAGAGCCCCAGATGGAGGTGTCCAGCCCTGCGAGCCGCCAGCTCTGGGCGCCCTCGGTTATAGACAGAGGGGCGCGTTTGCCGCCCTCACGCCGGACGCCGGCTCGTCTCTCCCCGCGGCCAGCTCTCGGGCCTCCTCGGAGGCTCTGCCCGGGGGCCAGATGCCAGCCGCCGTGGGGCGGGGGACGGCGTTTGGGTCGTGCCCTCCGGACGCCGGTGGAGCGCCGGGCCCTTGTGCCCTCACCGTCTCTGGAAGTCTGTCCACGTGCGCGTCCCCGGTGTCCGTGAAACAGCCCGAGTTAATTTCTCTAAAACCAAGCGGTCTGGTCTTACTGCCCTCCAAGGACTCTCTCTAGCTGTCTCCTCCAGCACCACGACTGGAAGCCTCGATTCTTTGGTGCTCAGCTTTCCTTATGGTCCGCCTTCCACAGCCGTCATTGAGATCGGAAAAACCATGACTATAGTTGAGCAGCGGGGGAAACCAAGAAAGAGAAGATAATTGACTTGTCCGGGGTCACACAGCTCTTAACTAGTGATGGGAAACTTTCTGAATATCAGTGAGTTGGAAATCACATTGGGGGCGGCTAGGCAGCGCAGTGGATAGAGCACTGGGCTTGGAATCGGAAGACTCACCTTTGTGAGTTCAGATCTGGCCTCAGACACTTCCTAGGTGTGTGACCCTGGACAAGTCACTTAACCCTCAGTTCCTCAGTTTGCTTCAGTTCCTCATCTGCAAAATGAGCTGGAGAAGGAAATGGCAAACCACTCCAGCATCTCTGCCAAGAGAACCCCAATGGGGTCACAAAGAGTTGGATACTACTGAAAAAATGATTGAACTGAACTGGAACTCACATGAATAATTCCACAGGATGACACGTTAAGAGCTGGAAGTTTCCTCGGCAGTCATCTAGTCAATCAACAAGCATTTACAGAGCCTCCCATTTGCAAATACAAAAGTGAGACAGTCCCTGCTGACAAGAAGCTTACACTGTATTAAGGGGCTGCTGTATTTAAGGGGTACCCTGACTTCTGGGATGTGAGAAGCCTGATGTAGGTATCAGAGGGGAAAATGCCAATAAAAAGTACAGAATAGACCCCCAAAGACCAGACATACCAGCTTTTGCCACGCCTGAAGGACTATGCCCTAGGTTCAAATGGGCTGTGTGTGAGAGCTGTAAAGGGCACTTCGCACAGGAGCTACTGATGACAAAGTGATGGTGGTGAGCAGCCACGGCAGCATGGGGCTAATCGGGTCTAACCGATACTTTCCGAACAGTCATTGATCCTCATCATGGTCACCTCTGTATAGGGTAGAGGTCATAAACTACAGTTCAGAGGCCAAATTTGGCCACCTATTTTTACAGTTAGCTAAGAATGGTTTTCCTAAAGGCCCTAATCTGCCAACTTTGGGGTCCAAGTTGATACTGAGGCTCATTCAGTGTCCTAGAGCCCCCTAGCCAGAAACTCCCTGTCCCTGGGGGCCCCTTGGGGGTGTGTGTGAAGTGTAATAACAAATCTTTGCTCCCGTAGGTGCCTCTGCTGAGGAACTGACTCCTTCTGTTGGGACTGTGTAGACTTTCCCTCACTTTCATCTAAGAATTCAGCATTATACCAAGAGACACCAAAGGTATCTCTTTTCTTCTGGATAAATTCACACTCACTGTAGTTATGAAATGACATACTACTCCTAAGCATGCAGACAACTCTCACATGTGGTTAGAAAGCAAGACTATAGTCAGCTCTCACCCGCCTCCATCTTACTTTCCATCCCTCAAAAATAAATCCGCCTCTTGGTTCTTCAAGTCCTCTCTGTGAAGTTGTCCAAACCATCTCTTGGGAAAAGACTTGCCAGTTGAGGAGGGACCCTGAGCCACTTTGCTGGGGTATGTGAAGCTTTATGAGGGAGCAGGGACCTCAAGGCTCAGGCAACTCTGCATGGTAGATGGGTCAGAAGGTTAACCGGAATTACATCAATTACGTCCGTAATTGTCAGGTAAGTTCTCCTGGAAGCCATATCCAAAAAACAGCTGGAACTGAAAGCTTTCCCCCTTCCTGGCATTCTGTTGAGTCACTGCAGAGACAGTAGCTCTAGGAAAAGGGACACTCAATCCTAGTATCTGGCCATGATGATGAAATGATCATTTAAAGAATCCGTTCCACTGTTCAGTATCAACTTCCTGAGGAGTAGCTGGGAAATGGAAATAAGTTTCAGCTGCAAGGTCCCATGCTGTGGCAAAAAAAAAACGGTAATGTATCATTAATATCATTTACACTCATAAGACCGTACCCATTTCTGATTTTGACAGTGCCAAAGAGTTTGGTTGCTAGAACCGGTTGAATGTGCTTCACTTATAACGGGACGGAGATCTGGATGAATTGCGCAAAACTATGATCTTTAGAAACTGGATCCTTGTTGGCCAGGGCCAATTATATCAGCAAAAGAGGCAGGGTATTGGGACAGAACTGGAGACTTAAGCTTTGAGCAGAATTTCAGTCTAAGCTCTCCACTGTCAAGGGCCACGACGTTGCTGGTTCTGCTGTGGCCTGTGCTATTTGTGCCCACTACCCTGGTCGATGATGCCATCCACTCTTCGGTGGACCTGATGATGATGCTTTTGTTCCCCCATGCTTTTATATCAACATACTCTGAGCTTCCCTTGACATCACACACGCTGTAGGAATTATACTTTTTAGAAGATTGTACTATCATTTCTATTAAGTGCCTCTTCCAGTGTTACTTATATTAGCCTTCTTTCTGAGGTCAAAATTGTTTAAAGATTATTTTAGTGGTGGAAGATAATCTAGAAAACTTTCGAGACCTTGCTACTGAGGGGTGGGATGTAGTAGGAACAGCATCTGTTTTGCGTAGGCTGAGATGGTTTTCTTTTCGGGGAAGAGAAAGCTATTCTAGGGATTATCAGTAGTTTGGAGTCCTTGGGTATCTGAGGTTCAAAAGGACTACCTTGCTGGGAGGTAGTGTAAAAGTCTTAGTTTAACTCCCACTCTGCTCTGCAAGGAAATCTATCAAATGTAGCATGGCCATTGCCATGGTTAAAGCTGACAGGAAAGGGGTAATGTTTTCTCTTGAGTTGTATACTTGTTTTGACTGCATTATCTAGTCCATGGCCCTCTCATTGCATTCCATTCCCAAGCCAGAATCACTAGACTACCCTATGCTAGGTCTGTCCCAGAATAGTCCTAGAAGGGCACAAATAGTAACAAGGGAAGGAAACTTCAAAGAGGCAGCTTTAGTTCGATGGAAGAAAAAACTTCCTAAAAAGTAGAACTGTTGAAAAATGGAATGGGCTAATACTGATAGTAGGTCTTCAAGAAAAGTTGGATGACCCCTTGCTGGGGATGTGATCAAAATTGTTGTTCAATTATGAGTTGACCATGGTGGTATCAGAGACCCCTTCCAACTCTTAAGTTATGATTCATAGCCAGAACTCTGTCCAGTCATTTCTGGCTTACACTGAAGTCACGTCGTTCTGGCTTTCCATATGGGGTCTCAGTCTTGAAACCGTACTGCAACACAACTGCAAGGGGAATCTTTCACAGTCGCCCTTGCTGCCCTAATGAAGCTCAGGCTCTGACTTTGGCCTCTCCAGCCCAGCTTGGCCAATCTTATGGCCATCCCTTGAACCTTTGTTACACGTAACACTCCACAAACCTTGTTACTTGACTTCTTGGCTGAACTCCTCATATCACAATCTTTCCTTGTACCCCCTCTCCATCTCTCACTCAGGATAAGCTCTGCCCTGCCGCAAGAGTGGGCTTTGTTTTCATGTCCACCATGAAGCTGGGACCTTTAGAGGCCAAGGTCTGCATCTGGGCTTCCTCCACTTAATGCAGAGGTCTGGACAGGGTTTTGCCCACAGGGAAAATCATTCATTCAAATATGGGTTATTCTCAATGGCACCAAAAGTGTTGAGTGCTTCGTTCTGCCAGAACACACAACTGGAGTATAACGTCATATGCTTGATACTGTTGTCACAGAATTGAAATGACTAATTATCTCCATTTTGGACTTAAAGGCCAGGGATAGTCAGGATGTTAGCATTGGCTGAATTGTCTTAGGAGTCAGAGAATCAATCTGAGGATTAGCTGCTCTAGCTACATTTACGGATTCTGGGGCCCTCCCTCAATGTAGCTGTTATCATTTCAATGTTGTTCAGTTACTTCTCAGTCATGTCTGACTTTCTGTGACTGCATTTGGGATAGACACTGGAGTGGTTTGCCATTTCCTACTACAGCTTATTTTAGTGATGAGGAAACTGAGGCAAACAGGGCTAAGTGACTTGCTCCTGGTCACACAGCTACTGAAGTGAGGCCAGATTTGAACTCAGGCAGATGAATCTTCCTGACTCCAGGCCTGACCATCTATTGTGCTACCTAGCTGCCCCTACATTTGAATGTACTGGAATACTGTTATGCTTTAGGAAATGACAAAAGGGAAGGTTTCAGGGAAACTCGGGAAGACTTGTATGAAGAGACTGAAGTGAGAACCATAATCATGTATATGCTTACAACCTTGTAACTCAAGAACTCTGATCAATGCAATGACCAACCACAATTTCAGAAAATCAATGTTGAAACACGCTACCTATCTCCTAACAGACAAGTGATGGACTCAAGATGCAGAACAGATATACATTTATGGACGTGGCCACAACGAGGATTGGCTTTGCCTGAATGCATATTTATTTCAAGGGTTTTATTTTCCCATTCCCCACCCCCACCCCCTTTTTCCAATTGAGGAAGGTTTGGGAGTGGAAAGAAAATAAGTGTTTGTTAATTGAGGAAAAAAAGGTGGTAGCCCTGCTTTAAATGCGTAAGACTTTGACCTACTTCTTCAGAGGCACCCACACTGGGGACATCTAATTCAGCACAATTTAGGCCCAAGTATTTGCAAAGTGGGAGACACCCAGCAGATGTTAATTATGGGACCAGATATCCTGTGAACCCTTAACCCACCTAAGGGGCAGACAGAGCAATATAAAGTGTGAATCCTACAGGGCATTTCCCTTGTGACCATGAGAATTTATATCCCATACACAGTAAAAAAAAAAAAAAAGCATGAGGAAAGTCTAGGCTAGAGGAAGATTTCCCCAAGAGCTCAGCTTCCTACAGCTCCTAATTAGGGATGGGCAACCTTGTCTTTTATTGTATCCCACAGCCCTTCCAGGAAATTAGTATCTATAAAAGGATTGCTGACAAAGTGAGATCTAAGGGGGCAAAGGCTCTTAGTCTGCCCCATAAGAGTGGTTGGGGAAGAAATCCCTCCAGGGCAGGCCTGCACAACCTCGAGGGCCAATTATGACCCCAGTGCACTTGCAGCCTGCCAAGCCAAAGGATTTTGGGCAGCCGTCGAAAAATGAAGAGAATATAAAACAGGCCTGCACTACATCCAGGCCTGAGGGATGTATGACCTGAAGGCCATATGTTGTGCAGGCCTGCTCTAGGGCCAGCATTCTCAATAAAAGACCTAGAGAAGTAGAATCTCCTTAGATGGTGGTAAACCTCAATTGACAAACCTAAGTTTTCAGACCTAAGATTATTACACTATGTTTGGGAAAGGTTCCTTTTAGTCTAAAGTCACTTTGAGGAGTAAGATAGAAAGTAATTGGGAAGAGCTCACACTTACTGATGTGTCCATTAAAATGAAACTGGATTAAGGAAAATCTAAGATAATTATCTGTGTCAATCTCAAGTATTGGAGTTTGGGGAGAAAGAAGGCTGGGAGTCTGAAGAGGAAGAAAAAGGTTTGGAATAGTATGGGAAGGTGGATAAGATTCTGCTTCAGATGTGGGGTTTCCCTTTAAATTAAGTTCTTTAATTTTCAATAAAGTAGTATACATCTGGCAATAATCCTTGGGGTAGTTACATTTATGGCTTCTCAGTATTTATTACTTGGCATTTCCCAAGTGCTGTGCTGTTGCTAAAAGTCATTTCATATTTACTACATAGACAAGTTTTCTTTACTTAGTATTAAATTATATATTTGTTCTGGAGAACACCCTTTCCTCAATGATAACTCTCCTAAATGTTCTCTCCGTTATGAATTCTCTGATGATGAATAAGCTGTGCTCTCAGGCGGAAGGCCATCTCACATTCATTACATTCATAAGGTTTCTCACCAGTATGAATTCTCTTATGCCGAGTAAGGTGTGTGCTCAAGCGGAAGGCCCTCCCACATTCATTACATTCATAACGTTTCTCTCCAGTATGGATTCTATGATGCCGATTTCGTTCTGTCCTTTGACTAAACGCCTTCCCACATACATTACATTCATATGGCTTCTCCCCAGTATGAATTATGTGATGTTGAGTAAGCTGTGTTCTCAAGCGGAAGGCCTTCCCACATTCATTACATTCAAAGGGTTTCTCACCACTGTGAATTGACAGATGTTCAGTGAGATGTGTCTTCTGGCGGAAGGCCTTCCCACACTCACTACATTCAAAGCGTTTTTCACCAGTGTGAACTGTCTGATGTTCATTAAGACGTGTCTTTAAGCGAAAGGCCTTCCCACATTCACTACATTCATACGGTTTCTTTCCAGTATGAATTCTATGATGTCGAGTAAGCTGCGTACTCAGGCGGAAGGCTTTCCCACATTCATTGCATTCATAAGGTTTCTCACCAGTGTGAATTCTATGATGTCGAATAAGATCTGCCCTCTGACTAAAGGCACTCTCACATTCATTACATTCGTATTGTTTTTTTCCGGTATGAACTGCCTGATGTTGAGCAAGTCCTGTGCTCTGGCGAAAGGCCTTCCCACATTCATTACATTCATAAGGTTTTTCCCCAGTATGAATTCTATAATGTTGAGTAAGAACTGCCCTCTGAACAAAGGTTTTTCCACATTCATTACACTTAAAATGTTTTTCTCCAGTATGAATTTTCTGATGTTGAGTAAGGTATGCATTCTTACGGAAGGTCTTCCCACATTCATTACATTCATAAGGCTTCTCTCCACTATGGATCGTCTGATGTTGAATAAGCTGTGAATTAAGGTGGAAAGCCTTTCCACACTCATTACACCCGTAGGATTTTTTTCCAGTATGAATTTCATGATGTTGAGTAAGTTCTATTCTTAGGCGGAAGGACTTTCCACATTCGTTACATTCATAAGGTTTCTCTCCAGTATGAACAGTCTGATGCTGAGTTAGCTGTGAGTTCTGGCGGAAAGCCTTCCCACATTCATTGCATTCATAAGGTTTTTCTCCAGAATGAATTCTATAATGTTGAATAAGTTGTATTCTCAGGCGGAAGGCCTTCTCACACTCATCACACTTATAATATTTCTCTCCAGTATGAATTGTCTGGTGTTGAGTAAGTCCCGTACTCTGGCGGAAAGCTCTCCCACACTGATTACATTCATAAGGGTTCTCCCCACTGTGCACTGTCTGATGCTGGATAAGTTGTGAACTGAGTCGGAAGACCTTTCCACATTCATTACATTTATAAGGTTTCTTTCCAGTGTGAATTTTATTATGCTGAGTAAGTTCTATTCTCAGGCGGAAGGCTTTCCCACATTCATCACATTCATAAGGTTTTTCTCCAGTATGAATTGTCCGATGTTGAATAAGCTGTGAGTTCTGGCAGAAAGCCTTCTTACATTCATTGCATTCATAAGGTTTTTCTCCAGTATGAATTCTATAATGCTGAATAAGTTGTGATCTCAGGCGAAAGACTTTTTTACACTCATTACATTCATAATATTTCTCTCCAGTATGAATTGTCTGGTGTTGAGTAAGTCCAGTGCTTTGTCGGAAAGTCTTCCCACATACATCACATTCATAAGGTTTCTCTCCAGTATGAATTCTATGATGTTGAATAAGACTAACCCTTTGGCTGAAGGCTTTATCACATTCATTACAATGATAATGTTTTTCTCCATTTTGTAGCCTAAGGTTTTCAGTAAAGTACGAATTAAAGTATCTCCCAAATTCATTATACTTGGAAAATATTTTCTCTGAATACGTTTTCATACATTTCCTTAATTTTTTAGATTGTTTCATGCCCTTTCTTTGGGCCTCAGGTTTACAAAGATTTGTTTTTAGAGATATTTGTTGTGCCAAAAAAATGTGCCCTTGAGTGAAGCTTCTATAACATTTATTGTATTTGTGGCTTCTAGATTTATTTGTAGGTTTCTTTTTGGTAATTTTTTCTTTTTGAGAATATGTTCCCTCATTGCTCTGATGCCTCTCTAATGTGGCATCACAATCCCAGGCTTTTTTTAATCTGGAAAAACAGAGATTCTTTTTTGTGCCTCTTTCCTGTGATAAATCTTGTACTGAAACGCCCAGCTTCAGAACTGACTGCTTGGTTTCTGGAGTAGCCTCCCAATCTGAAATGAGATAAAAAACAATGTTAATGTCTTCTTTGTTACTCTTGGTATACACATACGTAATATTCTCTGCATTCCCCATCAGGAAAAATTATTTTCTAAGTCTATTTGCTATTAAACTGATTTTTATTTTTTTTAGCATTCCTTATCAAATAAAAAGTTTGAGAAGCATCTTATGTTCTTCATTTTATCAAAGATTATGGTTCTGGGTTTTATTTAGTGCCTTCTATTTTGCTTTTGAATCAGTAATAAATATTTTGATTACTACTTTACAATATAATTTTGAGATTTTTGTAATCCAAGATCCCCTTTAGTCATTATTTCCATTGACATTCTTAAAAATTTTCACCTCTATATGAATTATTATTCTACCTAAATATAAAAGTATTTCCTTGGTAATTTAAATCGTCAGATCTGCAGATTAATTTAGAAGCATTGCCATTTGCATTACGCTGGCATATCCCATCCATAAACATTTAATTGTTTTCTAATTATTTCTTTTTTTACTCCTAATTATAAATTTTATATATTTCTCGATGAGTTTACTTATTGATATAAGCTTTTTAACTTAATTTACATATTCCAGATGTTGTTATTTGCAGATAACCACATCAAGCACGAGATACTGCAGAGCCTCTTAGAAGAGATATGTAATATTTCACGAGAGTTTGGCCTGTTAATCCATACAGGAAAGACCCAATGGATGAAGAGTTCTGTTGACCAGATTTCAACATCTACTGTGTTCCACTGATACCTGTGTGATGTTGGGAGAACCCGTTAGGTAAACATTTGCAAGGACAAGAATAAAAGTTGAAATGGATGGACTGGTATGGATGGGTTGTGATCTGTTAGAGGGAACTCCCAAAAGCAATCTGGCAGAAACTAGACCAACACCTCACACTATGTACCATAACAAATTCCAAATGAATACATGACCTAAATTGAAAAAGTCACATCATAAGCAAATTAGAGGAACGAGGATGGAGTTACCTTTTTAAACTATGGAGAAGGAAATACCATATAAGGGTGAGTGAGGATGACAGATGATAAAATGGACAATTTTGATTTAAATAAAACTGAAAAGCTTCCCTGTAAACAAAATCAATGCAGATAAAATCAGAAGGAAATAGTTAACTGAGAAAAAAATTTCTGCAGTAAATTTCTTTGATAAAGATTTAAGATATAAAGAACTAATTCAAATGTATAAAAGTAAGAGCCATTCTATAATAGATAATGATCAAAAAACATGAACAGGCAATTGCCCAAAAAAGACCAAACTATGAAGAACTCCATGAAAAAAATGCTCCATATCTTAAATACTTGGAAAAATGTAAATTTAAAGAATTCTGAAGCTACATCTCACACTCATCAGGTAGGAAAGCTGACAAAAATAGAAACTGTCAGTTGTTGGAGAGGCTGGAAGAGAACAGGTACATTAACGCATTAGGAAGCAGAGCTGTGAAACCATCTCCCATTCTGAAACACCATTTGGCCCATAGCCGGAGAGTCATTAAAATATACATAATCCTCTAACCCAGTAATTGCATTATTTGGTTTATATCACAAAGAGATCAAAGAAAGAGAATGGACCCATATGTACAAAAATATTAATAATCATCACTTTTTATGTAGAAATGAATAATAAAGCATCAATGGATTGAGGAATGTATGAAGAAATTATGATGTCTGAAGTAATGAAATATTATGTTCCTTAAGAAATGAAAGGGATGGATCATGAGAAACCTAGGAAGACATAAACGAGGAAGTGGCAACAAAAGACGAAGCAGCCACCTAATGCCTGACAGATGTGTTAGGGACTCAAGGTACACAGTGATACATATGTTTTTAAGACTTTTTTTTATATGTATGTTTTTAGACAGGGCCTAAAGTTTGAATACATTTTGCTCAGCTATGTTTACTTTCTACGAGGCTTATTTTTTAATTACAGTGGCATTTGGGAGGAAAGGGGACTAGAAATAATATTAATATAAAGAAAGTCAAGAAAATAAGGCAATTGTAGCATTTTGTTAAATGCACAGAAGAAAAGAGACAGAGGGGGAAGCACAGACAAGGAGAACTTTGAAGCCTGAATTTATTATATTACTTTGAAGTGAAATTCACGCTGCATGAGGCATAAAAAAGGTTCTTCCTTGTGTATGGAGATGCTCATGTTGTACATTTCCCATTTAAGGGAAGTGCCTAGGGTTGCCACCTTTTCCTTTCCTGCTTGGCTGCACTGACTTCTCAGGACTTTCATTCTGCCTGCTGGTGCCTCATGACGCTGCAAGATCACATCAGCCTTGGAGCTCACCTCTCTCCTCAGCAGCCCTGTCTCTGGGGCCTTTCCTCCCTCTGACTGGAGAAGGCAAAGGGTGGACAGTGGAAAGCTCTTCCCGGATCCTCCATTACACAAGGGTGCCCAGGGCAGCCATCGTGTCAGTTCCCACCTAGCTGGACTTCCTCACGTCCTCCTCCCTTTTTAGCTTCTTTTAATATGTCATCTCCCTCGTTAGACTGGGAGCTTCTCAAGGGCAGGGGCTGTCTTTGGCCTTTCTTTGTATCCCAAGTTTTCAGCAGTCATTTGCACATAGTAGGCACTTAATAAATACTTACTGAATTTTAAAACAGAACAGAAAAAATACACTTGACTTGCATGAATACATCCTTCAAAAGTTGGAAGTACCAACAAGGGGAAATGCTCCTCTCTATATGGTTCTCATCAACAAGGCAGAATGGATTGCTAGGGTGTAAATAATAGGAACATTGGGAAGAAGAAAGTATTCCATCTTACAATTTGTAACAGAGAAGAAGTCAGACTATTCCTGGCTTCCATAATGCCTAGACTTTGGGAAAGCAGATTTCAGGTTAGGTAGGATAAGTAGGGTTAAAATTCTGGCAAAGATAGAAAGCTCCAAAAATGACATTCTCAAGACACAAAGGGAACAGCTCTGAAGTAGAAAAAGGGGAGTTCTCTAAAGAGGTTGGGAACTCACTGATCAACCTTGGTTTTTAAATGACATACTGAAAAGGGAAAAAGCAAAAGTAAACAGAGGAAGAACACAAAACACAAAAACACGGGAGGGGCTGATAGGAACAGTATGTCAACACTTTTTTTTTTTAATTTAAGCCCCAAACTCTCTCCTCTCTCCCTCCCCTCACCCCACACTAGAGAAGGCCACCATCTGACACAGATATATATATATATATGTAAAACATACTATGCACACTTCTATTTATCAGTTCTTTCTCTGGAGGTGAATAGCATTTTCCTTCATAGATCCTTTGTAGTTGATGTGAGTATTTATAATCCTCAAAATAACTTAGTCTTGCACAGCTATTCTTTGAACAATATCACTGTTTCTTTATACAACATTCTCTTGGTTCTGTCAATACTGCTAATTCTCTGAATGCACTGAAGCTGCTGAGGAAAGCTATGGAAACAAGAAATATGTTTCTTTCTTTAAAAGCTATCACGGGCAGAAGAAAGTCAGAGAAGAGACAGATTGCTGTTCAGACTGGATGGGAAGAAGGTAAAACCGGTCAACTACTACTTTGCCTCTATTTTGTCTACCAAAGTGAATGAGCTTTGGGCTAGAAAGGAGACAATAAGAATAATTAATATGGAATTGATATCTGAGAGGCATAAGGACGTCCTGAGAGACCCCCTAGTTGCCAGCCCTGATGAATTCAAGTTACCTGGGCCAGACAAATCACTCCTGAGGAAGTGGTAGATGCGTTGACTGAGCCGTTCACAATGGCTTCTAAAATACGTTGAATGGGTGGTCATTTTTTAAAGACTTATCTACTGGATGGCTGTTGTCCTTCATGCTCTGAGAGGACCAAAATGACCTCATTATGTTGGGGTCAAAGTACAAGTTGTGTCTACTATGGCTGATCAGACCAATATAAATTTGAAAGGCTTAACAGAGGTCGGGCACAAATAGTCCATATGAACATTTGGAGTGGAGATGTCTCTAAATTTGCATATCTCACATTTCTTTTGAGCTACTGCAATTCTGCTTTGCTCAAGAATATGGTGCCTTCTTTGATTGGAGCACACCACGCTGGGCAGTCCTGTGCCACTGTCTCCCATGTCTCATAATCAATTCCAAAGTTCTTCAGAGAGGCCTTAAGAGTGTCCCTGTATTGCTTCTTCTGACCTTCAAGTGAATGACTGCCTTGTGTGAGTTCTCTGTAAAATAGTCTTGTAGGCAAACTTATATTTGGCATTCAAATAACGTAGCCAGCCCACTGGAGTTGCACTGTCTATAGTAGGATTTGAACAGCAGTTTCGCTTGAGAAAGGACCTCAGAGAGGGTCAGAAAAGTGTTCTAATCTGTTGTTGTTAAGTGTTCGGGTAGTTTTTTGCTTTGAAGCTGCCATTTTTTGTTGAATCTGAGTGATTAGCTTGGAGAAGATGTCTTTGATCAGTCCAGCACTCTGCACCACACACTGTCTTCGTCACTCTCACATCCTGTGGGTCTCTTTTCCTTACAATGATATAGTCTATTAAATGCCAATGTTTGCTGTGAGGGTGTATCCATGAGGTTTTACTGCATTTAGGTAAACAGAAGACAGTGTTGGTGATGAGGTCATGAGACACACAAGTCTTCACTAGTAAATGACTGTTGCTGTTTCCAATTCTGTTCCTCCAAAGGACTCCATGCCATGTTTAAGAGTCTGTGCCTACGCTGGCCTTAAAGTCACCCAGAATTAGAAGCTTGTCTTCTTCTGGCACATTGATGACGAGGATTTCCAGGTCTTCATAAAAGTTTTCTTTGACTTCATTAGGGTTTGTCATGGTGGGAATATATACACTGATGATGGTGGCGTGGGGCTTTTCTGCAAGTGGCAATTACATTGTCATTCACTCCTTCTGGGATGTATACAAGCTTGTTGACGACATTAGTTTGGACTTCAAAATCCATGCCAGCTGCACGGCATGCCCCATCACGGCGGCCACTCCAGCTATGATTTCAGTAAGCGGGCCTTCATTTGTCAGCCTGGTTTCATTCAGGGCTGTTATTTGGATGTGATACCTGCTGAGTTCTCTCACAACAAGAGCCATTCGTCTTTCAGGTCTACTGGATTTCATGCTGTCTATAAACACGCACACATTCCTTGTACCAATGGTGAATGGAATCATCTTTGTAGAAGTTTTTGCTTCCCAATGATCTCGTCTGCCAGGTTCCCTGTCTGATATTAAGGAAGCTGTTGGTTGTGTGCATCTTCATTTCTGGGCATCTCAGTAAAGGAGCGTCCGGAGGTAGGAAACCAGATAGTCCGGGGGCCTTAAGTTCCTGCCATCAAACAACCCAATGAAGCAAGTGGGGGTGTCTAGTGGGAAGAGAAGATCTGGGGCAGGGATGACACCACATTGTCCGGTTTGGGGAAGGCTGACACACTAGAGAGAGATGAACTCAACTTGTTCTGTTTGGCCCCGTGGGCAGAACTGGGAGCAATGGCTAGCTGCTGGAAAGAGGCAAATCAAGGCTTACATTACACGAAACTTCCCAACAATGACAACCATCCTCTAGGGAGGGCAGGTGCAGTGGGAGGCCTGGGATAAGCCCAGCTGAGTATCAAGAGGCTGGTCACCACTTGGTCATGAACTAGTTGGCCATGGCAGCCCATAAAAGAAAGAAACTACACACAGGAGCTCCTTCCTGTGCGGCCCCCTTCTACGTGGGTAGTGAGAACAGCAGAGCATCAGGAAAGGGGGCAGAAAGCAAGGAGAGAAAGTCCCATCCCCTGCTGAGGCATCCTCTTCTCTGCCACTGCAGGGACACGAGGAGGGGAGAGATGTCAGGACGGAGTTTGTGGACGTCAAGATGAGTCTCCAGGAGGAAGCTAATGCCATACAATCTCAGCTCTTCTCCCAGGGCCTGGGCAGCCAACAGGAGACATCCACGTTCCAAGTTTTACTAGTGCTTTCCTAGACTGACCGAGTGAACTGCAGTTTACAATGACCCACTCACCTGGACAGCCACTTCTCTGGATTCCTCCTGGCGTCCAGGGTGCCTCCCTTTGCTCCAACTGGGAGATCACGTCTGGTTTGGAAACTGCAAGTCCTATTTGTTAGAAAAGGGAAATTACTGGGGACACAGAACCATTCCAGAATTTAGTCCTACTTTTCTCCCCCCACTTTCAGGGGAAAAACAGGCATGTTAGTTAAAGCCCAGACAGTACTATAACTGACTTTGGAAGCAGGCTATAAGGATGTCTAAGAGAGTGGGAAGACGGGTCACATGGTAGAATTGGTCCCACAAAAAATTCATTTCCTATTTCCTTTGACTTGTTAAGAGGAGGGAACTTTTCATGTCTTCAAACAATGGACTCAGCATTAACGGAGCCAGCGAATGGAGCAATACAAAACATCTTCAGGAGTGATAAATCCAGAAGCCAGTTTCAACTAGCATAAAGCAAGACATTTCACAATTATTCTGTCTCTTAGAAAAGGATTAACAATTTCTCATCTCTGTATGCTAAACAATACCTGTCCAACATTAAAGATGTTACTTGTCGAACATTTACTAAGGAAGATCCCACTGCCCCCATCCACACCCCCATCATGCGAAAAGGCAGAAATCTGAATCACTGAAGGAAGTTATCTTTACCCAGGTGGACTAGATTTTCATAGTTTTCTAACATCACATCTCTGTACAACTCCTTCTGACAAGGGGTTAGGTGCCGCCACTCTGTCCGGGTGAATTCCACAGCAATATCCTTGAATGTCACAGATTCCTGAAATAGAGAATAAAATTAGATGAAAGGAGCAATGTTCTAGATTTTGAACAATACAACTAATATGTATGAAATGTTTCCTATGTGTCAAACACTGTGTTAAGGGGGAATACAAGGGTTAGTATTGGGATTTTATATTCAAATGGGGGAGACAACAGTTGCCCTTTCTTTTTTGTTTTTTAAAATCTTAATTAATTAATTAATATTTACTTTTCAATATTCACTTCCATAAGATTTTGAGTTCTAAATTTTCTCCCTCTCCTCCTCCCTCCCCAAGACGGCATGCAATCTGATATAGGCTCTACATACTCTACATATACATTCATAATAAATATATTTTCACATCAGTCATATTGTAAAGAATTAGAGCCAATGGGAGGAACCACGAGAAAAAAGAAACAAACCAACAAACAAAAACAAAAAAAAGCAAATAGCATGCTTCGATCTGCATTCAGACTCCATAGTTCTTTCTCTGGATGTGGACAGCGTTTTCCATCATGAGTCTTTTGCAACTGTCTTAGATCCTTGCATTACTGAGAAGAGCCAAGTGTATCAAAGTTAGTCATTGCACAATGTGGCTGTTACTGTGTACAATGTTCTCCTGGTTCTGCTCACTTCACTCAGCATCAGTTCATGTGAGTCTTTCTAGGTTTTTATGAAGTCTGCTTGCCATCATTTCTTATAGCACAATAGTATTCCATTACATTCATATGCCACAACTTGTTCAGCCATTCCCCAATTGATGGGCATCCTCTCAATTTCCAAATCTTGGAGACCACAAAAAGAGCTGCTATAAATATCTTTGTACATGTGGGTCCTTTTCCCATTTTAATGATCTCTTTAGGATACAAACCTAGAAGTAGTATTGTTGGGTCAAAGGGTATGCACAGTTTTATAACTCTTTGGGCATAGTTCCAAATTGCTCTCCAGAATGGCTGGATTAGTTCACAACTCCACCAACAATGCATTAGTGTCCCAATTTTCCTACACCTTCTCCAACATTTATCATTTTCTGTTTTGTCACGTTGGCCAATCTGATAGGTGTGATGTGGTACCTCTGAGTTGTTTTGACTTGCATTTCTCTAATAGTAAGTTAGGGCATTTTTTCATATGATAGCTCTAATTTCTTCATGTGAAAACTGTCTATTCATATCCTTTGACCATTTATCAATTGGGGAATAACTTGTATTCTTATACATTTGATTCAGTTTTCTATATATTTTAGAAATGAGGCCTTTATCAGAGACACTAGTTGTGAAAATTGTTTCCCACCTTTCTGCTTTCCTTCTAATCTTGGTTGCATTGGCTTTGTTTGTGCAAAACCTTTTTAATTTAATGTAATCAAAATTATCCATTTGCATTTATAATATTCTCTGTCTCTTGTTGGGTCATAAATTCTCCCTTTCTCCATAAATCTGACAGGTAAATTATTCCTTGTCTTAGTTTGTTTATAGTATCAGCCTTTATATCTAAATTGTGTACCCATTTTGACCTTATCTTGGTATACAGTGTAAGATGTTGGTGTATGCCCAGTTTCTGCCATACTGTTTTCCAGCAGTTTCTACTAAATTATGAGTTCTTATCTCAGAAGCTGGGGTCTTTTGGTTTATCAAACAGTAGATTAATACAATCATTGACTAACAGTTGCCCTTTTTGTTCTGCAGAGGGCTTAATTCAGGACAAGGCGGGTGTACAATGATTCATTATCCTCATTTTATAAATGACAAAGCTCAATCTAGAAAAGACTAGAAAGAAACAATATGGGCCACAATCCACAAGCACTTATGTGCTGACTTGTGCTATACACCACTGGGAGGGGCTTGGCTATCAACACAAAGAAAAAAATAACCCCTGTATTTATGGAACCAATATTCCAACAGGGGAAAGAACATGCACCTGTATGAATAAACACAAAATATATACAAAGTAAATAAAAATATAATTGGGGGATGTGGTGGGAACATCCTGAAAGGCATCATGTCTCGCATGGGGCCTGAGCTGAGATCCGAAAGAAGCTGGGAATTCTAACAGGTCGAGGTGTAAAGGGAGTGAATTCACAAAGCTTAATAAGAACCAGGAGCAAGCCTGGAACTCTGGTCCTGCCTCTGTGCTTTAAGCATGTTGCCTATTGCTTGATAGCTCAAATTTATCCAAATGAACCATTTTACCAAGGCAGCTCAAATGTCTCAGAGACTTAAACCTCTCCCATTTTACTTCAAAGAGCATCATGGACACACAGCTACTAAGTGATGGAGGTGGGAATAAAAACAGGGTGGCTCCTGAATCTGAGTACAGAACATTTTTCTAGAGACAAACTTACCTAGCAATAGTTTATTTTGGTTTCCATTCCCAAACCAGCGCAACTTAACCCTGGTTGTGGGTTTTTTTTCCCCTGGTTGTGTTTTCCATTTAGATCTTACCTTGATTTCTCTACTACCCATTTTACAAACTAGCTTTTTTGGATTAAGTTTCAACCCTGATGACAAGCTCTCCTTCCTACATTTTCCCACCACCTCTAATCTCAAACCCTCGCCCCTGCCCCTTAATTCTTAAACTAACCCAAGAAGCAGAAAATATTGATACATGAGGAAAAAAAAACCAGATTGTATCTTCTTTCTCTGAACAATATTCCTTTTACTGACTTATCTGGGAAATTAATATGAGGAACTATAAGATTTAAAGATATCTATCAGGTATTCTTTGTTCTCTGATTTTAGATTAGAAGGGAAGAAAATGGGTAACATAGCATTGTCAATTGGACATTATGGAGTTTTACTATCCACCCAAAATTCTAACCTGTCAGTACCTTATACTTTATTCAGTGGGACTTTCTGCAAAGAGTGGAGTGATCATGACTAAAGCTAACCCCCAAGACCCACCTAAAAACAATGTCAAAAGCATCAATTACAACAAATACAAACTAGGGGAAAGGTAATTACATTTACAAATGAGAAACAAGCAGAAAACCCAAAGAAGTCAATGATTAAGAACTAGGCCCAATATTTCTAGAGAAACCTTAGAAAAAAAGGGCAAAAGTGGGGTAATAACAACTACATCCCTGGAAGAGACAAGGGTGACGAGACCAGAACCTTCCCTGGAGTCAGAGGTACAACCACATTGTTTGTCTTCATG